CATTATTATCTCTGAGAAGGACAAGAGCCCCAATAGGAGAAATGGAACGTGCCTACTTAAGTCTCACTTTAGGTTCAAGAGCAGTTGGGGAGAGCTTTCACGTTTCTTTCCATGTAGCCTAGTCTTGCTGAGTAATTTAGGAGAACAGGTACAGATTCTGTCAGATGGAATATATGAGAATAGGGAAACACAAAAGAGAAGTACAAACACAAAAGTTAAACAAGGACTATGTATTAATTAGTATCACCTCATTATTCCTAAGTAAGTGCCAAAATACTGCCAGAAATAGTAATACTCAGTACAGTCTATGAAACAACTAATTTTCACTTTATCTAATTTGCTATGGCCTTAAAATACATTAATGTGAATATGTGTGTCCACTGGCAGATTTGTGGTTCCACCATGACAAGCCCAAAGTTGATAGCTTATGTGAAGATTTCTTTTGGTTACTTCTTTCAGAAGTAGGCTTTTAAGCTATCATGTGGGAACTTACCCCAAGATTTCATATATAAATACAAAAAAAAGGCATTATGTGGAAAATAAAAGTAATATATGGAATATGTATCCTCTGTAAATAGGCATGACTAAATTTACAGAAACCATGTATCTAATGTTCTGTCACAATTTAAAGTTAATGCTCCTAGATTAAGGTAAGTATTATCCATGATAACACTGCTTGTTGTTTCTTTAGGTTAAAAAAAACCCAAACAAACAGTAGTAACCCTGTACCACTACCATCAAAATTTAGGTCTTGAAGGACACACAAAAACCTTCTATATTTAGAAAACAGAAAGGTAAAATAAATTTTTTTATAGTTTATTTTTGAGACAGAGACAGAGCATGAGTGGGCGAGGTGTAGAGAGAGAGAGGGAGACACAGAATCTGAAACAGGCTCCAGGCTCTGAGCTGTCAGCACAGAGCCTGATGCGGGGCTCAAACCCACGAACCACGAGATCATGATCTGAGCCAAAGGTGGACGCTTAAGGACTAAGCCACCCAGGTGCCCCTAAAATGAACTTTTAATGATACTAGTGTATCATTCTGACTGAAAGTTAAGAGGAAAAAAAATTATTCTTACTATGATCCCAATAAAACTTCTATACCTCATTATCTTGTTCAACTATTAAGCTCCATTTAGCTCAAAAAATATTTCAATGACACGTGCAGTTTTCAGTTACTGAACTAACGTGAGTTTGTGGGTACATTCATAGTATTCCTCTTTGGCAAGTTACTTACCTTCTTGTTACCAATTTTGATATGTATTAAAAGTAAATGATTCACTATCACTGATTTCCACGGTCACACTCAAGAGTCACCTAGCTGTGATTTGAATGGAAATGATGATGTAGGAGTGAAAATGGTCTGAGTGAATGACAGCCTCTCTTGAAGGGCAGGTGAAGGTTCACTGACCCCTGGGCACTCTACTCCATTCTGGTGAATCACTGCTTTGGGGAAACAAAAGACCCTGTGGCTCATAAAACCTGATGATATTAAGAAGAGGAAAGGAGTTTACACTTAGAATTCAGGGTCACTGCTAGAAATACAACTTTAAAAATTCAAGGGTAATTTATTTAAAATTTTAATATTTAAAAATGAATTACTAGTGTTTTTTCCTTTAAAAAGTATCTGGTAAACCCATATCATACAAATGTTCATTACTTATTCAATGTACACCATTGAGAGATAAATAGAACTGTTAGAATACAAGAATGCCAAGGGTAATTCAACTACTGCACTGTAAGTGTGGCATAACTGATTCGTCATGACATACAATTTTCTAAAAGCTATTCTGTTAGAAGGCAATAAATGAGTGCATAAATGATTTACATTCTTCTGAACCATGGTTATTATTCAGTATTTTATTCTAAAAAATATGTACACCGTATACTATTATGTTTATTCTCTAGAGTATAATAAAAACATAATTGAATTTGATGAAAAATAGACTTTATTCTAAATGTAGCATAAAGCACATATAGCTACTCCCTTATATTATCCCTTGTGAAGATCAATGGTCACTTGAGGTGGTTCTGTTCTAGGTTGGTTTTAATATATGGGCAATAAAATATTTTTAATTTAAAAATTATATCCTTATATTCCATGTCATATTTCCTTTTTAATAACATCTGAGTTTTGACCTAAATAACAACTTATGAATGCAAAATACAATATTTTAATCACTGTTTTACTTATAAGCATGATTTCTTATTGACCAGGTAGGGCAGGAAATTAACTACAGATGGTATAGCAAATAAAAATGAAGCATTCTATCAGAGTTCGGTGATTTGTTTTGTTTTAAAAAAAGCCTAAATGCTATATGAAATGAGGTTACCTTTTAAAAATTATTTAAAATTTGTTTTAATATAACAATATTTGGAATTTTGATGAATTACAAACATATTTAAGCTAATACTATTGTCATTTACAAGTTTCTTTGGGTTAAAAACTGTGCCATAAAATATATAATACATGAGTTACATAAATATGTAACTAAAGTTTAGCACAGTTAATTTATATTTATATATAAATTATAATACTCTATAGTATGGTTAAATCATACATATATGCTATCTTTCAAGAACATATACATAAACACATATACTTATGTATGTGTGTATGCGTGTATATATACATATAGATGTATGTATATATGTATATACATTGCAAGGGCAAATGCAAATTAAAAGAGGCTTAATTTTCCCTGTTGAAAATAAGAGAATGGATTTCCCTCTCTTCCTTTTACTGATTTATCTTAGAAATTTGTAATTTCAAGTATTTTTTCATCTCTTTGAAATATATCCCTTAGAAGACTAGATTAGACGTTTTGTCAGCTTTCTCTGCCAGGACCATCTTTCTCAAGAACCTGGAAGCCATCTTTTCCAAATGCACACACCAAGGGCGGTGGCTCCTGGCTCCACTTCCTGCTGGAAGACAGGGGCCTAACTTCAGTAGGTGCTGTGTTCCAATCTGCAAAATCACCCTGTCCTATAGATATGAGAAGTATGTTTGTCCTCAGGATAAAATAATTAGCTAACACAGGTATCCTTTAACACAGGTAAAATTAGGATGAACTATGTGTGAAAAAATGTGCTGCCAAATTCTCTACATGAGGACTAGCTATGTTTATCTTGAAAACATGTTTGTAATGGGTTCTATCTACCAGGTTATATGAAGGGGTGTGATGCCCAGCTCTGTCTTCCCAATCTCTCAGCAGACTGCCTGTGATATGTGATGCATTCTGGTTTAATGCCTGTTGAATAACAGAAGTGTTTTTATTCTCTTCTGCCTTTGTGGAGAGAATGTCTGAGATGGGAGATTTTGGTTTTGATTACAATTCCCCAACAATAAGGTTTCTTCTGTATTTAAGTTATTTATGCCCTTTGTTATGACAAAAAATAGACTGCATTCTTATATAAAACATGAGAAAAAAAATCATAGGAACATTTCACTTGCTTGGCTCAGTTTCTTTGACAATTCAATATAACTATACCTTAAGTTTAAAAAAAAGAAATAGTATAGTATGTCTGATTCTATATGAGAAATTTTTACTGTGGTTTGCATATTTGTAACCTACATGAGGTTGATTATTAGAACCTTTGACCAAAAGGATTTAAATCGGTGAACTGATTCTAGGACCTAAAACACATATAAAGACAAAGTCCCTTCCATCTAATGGCAAACTACTTAGCTGTCCCCACCACTCCTAATGTTTGGTGTTACAGAACCAGGCCGGATCACTGGCGGAAAAACCAAGCGGCACTCAGAGATCTAGGTGGATCGGTGTTTTATTTTACACTGGTGGGCTCAGAGGAGATCCTTCTCCAGAGCACAAGCATGGGCAACAATTTATCGTGTTACTTCTGCATTATGTATTAGTAATAATTTGGCACGCACGGCAAGCATAGCAGGAAAAAGAAACCCAGAAGAGAGTCTCTAAGCTAGGGACTAGAGCTTATAATAGTCCTGTCGTCCATCTTGTGGTGCATAACTTTACTTATTTTCCCAACATTAGCACTAAATTTTGGAGTAGGTGATGAACACTAACCTTGCAGTGCAGCTCTCTATGGAGTCTCTGGCCTTCCACGAAGGAGACTTATAATGACAAATGTTACATAAAAATAGTACATACTTAATGTTCTCTTTTAACAACTCAAGCAATCCATGGCCTTATACAACCATTTTAATACTGTAATTTCAAGTTTTTAATTTCTCTGCTTATCCATCAAGTGAGGATGGTTAACTCTAAACATATTAATGAAAATCAAGGCCATCAGTATTGGCAAAGTCTAAGAAAACATTATTAGAAGTTCAATAAACTTTAATTTACCTATTTGAAGGCAGTGCCTAGTTTTTTAGTCTTACTTATTTAAATTTTCTTTTTAATTTAATTTTGAGAGAGAGTGCTGCACACATGGGGAAGGGCAGAGACAGGGAGACAGAGGTTACCAAGTAGGCTCCAGATAGCAGAGAGCCTGATGTGGGGCTTGAACTCACGAACCACGAAATCATGTCCTGAACGAGAGATGGACGCTTAAAGGACTGAGCCATCCAGGCACCCCTTAGTCTTATTTAAAGTACCAATCATGTTAAATTCTAGGGAGGAAGGCCTAATCAATTTTTTTTCAGGAAAATTAATGATATTAGGGGCGCCTGGGTGGCTCAGTCAGTTGAGCGTTCAACTTCAGCTCAGGTCATGATCTCACAGTTTGTGGGTTCGAGCCCCACGTTGGGCTCTGTGCTGACAGCCAGCTCGGAGCCTGGAGCCGGTATCAGATTCTGTGTCTCCCTCTCTCTCTGACCGTTCCCCCTCACGCTGTCTCTCTCTCTCTCTCTCGGAAATAAATAAAACATTAAAAAATTTAAAAAAAAAAAAAAGAAAATTAATGATATTAAAATCTAAAATGATTTAACAGTAGGAAACACTAAAACTAGACCAGGGAAAGTTTGTATAAATGAAACATGAAACCAACTAGTTTTAAATACTTAGTAATAATATTTACCTTATAGCATTTTGTTGTATCTTTTCATCAATGTCACTGAAGATCTGCTTAAACTCCAAGTCTCCAGGAAGTGAATTTAACAAACAATGTAGGTTAAAAGAATTATGGGAATATTCATCTCCCCAATCCATTCTGCAGAATAGGAATAAAAAGCACGTCAGTTTCTCAAAAATAAAGAAAGAAACAACACCTCAAGTTGTGATCCTAAACCACAAATAATTCTCATTTATAAGTGAAATGAAATAAAGCAGTAGGAAAACTGGGGTATTGTTAAACTAGGTATAGAGTGTTTTGTTACTTCATTTGCATGAGGTGTGACCTGATTTTCACACTCCTCTATGGCTTGAAAGCTGAACAAAACAGCACCCCTCAGAGAATACTCCAGCATCCTGTTGTTTCTCACTATAACCAAGAGCCGCAGAAGGACCACAAAGCCTAACAGACCACGGTGAACAAGGGTGGCAGCAACACAAATTCAACACCTTCTCTCCACCCTTGCCAATATACTGACCTGGAAATTGTAACTTCCAAATTGTAAAAGTGTTATCCCATTCCCCTTATTTATAGGTGGAGGCAATATTTTCCTTGATTTCCTCTATTACCCCTGTCAACCTAAGTACTTTTAACCAACTAAAACTTACATATGCTACTCTTCCTAGAGAAACGTGGATTTTCCCACTATCGAATCATTCACTCAGTCAGTGCATGTATATTCTTGAATGTTTGATATGTAAAAGGCACTGCAAGAAGCTGGGGATATAGTTGCAACAAGTCAAAGTCTCTACCCTCGGGAGTTTTTATCTATTTTAAGAACACACAAGCGGATATACTTTATAAAAAATCGCATGGTGAGAAATGCTGTGAGCACAAGAAAGCAGGGTAATGGGACAGACCAAAAATGATGGAGATGGGGCAGACTGTGAACTATTTTATTTAGGAATATATTATTTTTGGACATAAAGTGGTGCTTATAAAGGACGTAATGACTAATGGTATAAATGTTTGAGAAATTTAAATTACAAGAAATATACATGGAATAAATATTAAGAAGAGAAAGGCTTGGAGAATGTGGTTTTATTTCCGATAAATCCAAAATACTTGAAAAATTGTCTAAAAAGTTTTGCAGAGGCTACAACACTAATGGACTTCCTCATCTTTAATTATTTAATTACAACAAATCCAGCTAATTCATTATCCTATAATGAAATAGTTGAATTCCACATAGGCATCATCGTGGAATAAAGCTTTTATTTTTTTCACATATTTTACTTTAAAAGGGAAACATCCAATTAAAACATTTTAATATAAAATTCAGTGGCATCACAAGGTTTGTCATTAGTTCCAAATACAGAATAACCACAGATATGCCATTCTAAAATATCAAAATTCTCATATATTTATATCCTTCTTTTAAAATATTTTGAAGCAAAAGGTATAAAACACTGTATATCCATCAGAAGTTAAACATCTTTAGGGCACTAAAACCTCAACATTTCCATATAAAAAGAGTCTAAAATCTTATCTCCCTAGCTGCTCAACTAATTACAGCTATTATCAGAATAGTTGTTTCTAAATCCAATGGCCACTATTACTAATAATGAATTCAGCTTCTGTATTTGCATGTTTTTGAATCATTTTGGGTAGTTCAACTCTTCAGATGATGACTCATTCAAAAACTGTTGCAAAAAAATAAAATTTCACATTTGTAGTGAAAAAATGTGATTGGCTGAAGGTCCGTAGATAGCTCAAACTTAGTAACTACTTTGTAGCCAGCCTCTCTAACAGAACCAGTTATATACCAATACTCTGCTCAGACTTGTCTTGTCATTACTATAAAGACTCATAAGCTCAGATTCCACATATTCAAAACATAAGAAAATAGGTATACAGGTCAGTTTAAATATAATAGGAAAATAGCAATTTGACTTGTTATATATCTACTATGTACAAAACATACATCATCTTCCTTAATTCTCTTAATTCTACAAAATAGTTATTTAATATCTTCATTTATAGGAGAAGGAACTTGTGCCCAAAGACATTAACAAACATACTCGTGTAGCAGCTACTTACTGTTAGGAGTAGAATGAGAACTGAATCTATTTGGTTCTAAATTTTAGGCTGCCTCGTATCTTGAGAAATGAATCACTCGCTGCATACAGAACAGTTTTGCAGAAATATTTTTTTAAGTTTATTTATTTTTGAGAGAGAAAGTGTGTGCAAACATGAGAGGGATAAAGAGAGAAGCCCAAGCAGGCTCGGCATTGTTAGCACAGATCCAGATACGGAGCTCAGTCTCACAAACTGTGAGTTCATGGCCTGAGCCAGAACAAAGAGTGGGATGCTGAACCAACTGAGCCATCCAGGTGCCCCACAATTCTGTAGAAATATTAACTAATACGTTAAAATTGTTAACCCTGGATATTCAGTCTACAGTTGATATTTATTTTCTTCTTTATACTTAGTACTTTCTTATTTTTTGCATTTAGTACTTGTTTTATATACGTTAAAAAGCAAAATTTAATCAAGTGAATGTGAATATCTAATTGGCTTTGCTAAACTATTCATGAACCAGACAGCACTTCATCTAGCAAACACACAGGCACTCCAAGGAGTTGTACAAAATGGAAGGAATTGATAGAGGAGGGTGGGGGCAGTAGAGTTATTAGCAAAAGAAAAGTGTTGCTCCAGACAAGCCTGTTTTCTAGGGGAAAAGTTAAGGGGTCTTACCGTGCAGATCTTATCTTTCTTTAGGGGATGGAGAGGACTCAAGTGACAGACTTACTGACATTGATGGAAAGAAAAACTTCCTGACTGACCAGTTAAGGCCATATTTCTGGTGAAAGTAGAAACTGCAATTACATTGGGTGTTAAGCCCCAGTTTGGGAACTTGGTTTGAGGGACACCGTTTTGGGCCTGTGGTTTTCTTTTTTTAAAAATGTATATAATGAAGAAAAATACTTTGGAAAGAAATTATACCTGCTCTCAAGGAGCTTTTGATCTTACATTCTGTCTTCATTTGAAACCTCTTCGAACCTTAACACCTATCTTGCCAATCTGAATTTATCATTACTCTCAAAATCTAATTCAAAACTTACATAATCCCTAAATATCTCTTGACTACCATTTCACCAAACTTTTTGTACGCTTTTGTGGTATTTGTGCTTGCAAATGCTGCTAAAGGAAAATCTGCTGCTCTGTGCTATGTTGGTATTAAATGTGTGTTATGACTTTCACGGAGATGAGTTCTGGAGTAAAACAATAATGGACTGAAATATGTTGAGCATTCAGATGGGGTTGGTAACACGATTTTGAAGGATTCCCAAAATATATAGTTGTGTGATTTTTCTCTAATCTCAGTAGAGAAATTAATCAATAAATACAAAGAACAGATTAAGGAAGTGCCATTTGATAACAATAGGGTACCAGAACAATGATGGTTCAGAGTTTTCACGTGATCACCACAGATCTGTGATGCTTCTATATTTAAGATATGGTTTCATGGTGATGAAAGACAAGAGAAGCAGCAATGACAGTTGTAGGTAAAGAGGTAGCAAGGATAAGAGAAAATTTGATTGGCAAAATAGAACGAAAAGGACAAGAAAATTAACCTGAATGAATAGAGATGCACAGGACCAGCAGAAGAAATAAATGAAAAAGGGAGGGTAAACTGCGGTAAGTGATGCTAAAGTGTGAATTTAAAAGTTTTCTCAATGGAATAGCAGTGATCCCTGCAGGAATGTGGTGACAAAGAAGCACCCAATGGACATGAGCACAGACACCAGGCCTCCCATGTCCTTCCAGGCACTCTGTGGGTCCACAGTGTGACACTGTGCGGGGCATCATGAGGGCATCATGGAAGGGAGATTGGATAGTCTCTCCTGTAAAGGAGCAGAGACAGTAAAAACATAAGGCAATAGGCAAGAGAGCCAGTAGAAAGAGACTCTATTCTCTAAGACATAACTAAGACCCCAACAACAAAAAAGTGAATTATTAAGGGACTAATGTAACTTGACGAATACCTCAGTGGTATTTCAGAAACAAAGAACAACCTTTAAAAAATTTAGAGAGAGGGGTGCCTGGATGGCTCAGTTAGCTGAGCATCCGACTCTTGATTTCAGCTCAGGCTATGATTTCACAGTTTGTGAGTGTGAGTCCCACACTGGGCTCTGTACTGACAACACAGAGTCTCCTTGGGTCTCTCTCTCTCTCTCTCTCTCTCTCTCAGCCCTTAGCCCACTCACCTGTGCTCTCTCTCTCTCAAAATACATAAATAAAATTCAAAAACAAATTAGGTGGTAAAAGGAAGAGACTATGAAGCTGTATAGCTTCACAGTCTGTTTATATTTCTGCACTTTCAACTATTAAACTCTTGTCATCAGAGAGGTAATCATCATTTGACAGAATGAAGTGTCTTAACCTAATCCATGATCAATCAAAAATGAGAGCTGAAACTTTTTAAAGTATGCTAACTTTCTTTTTGAAATTGTCATTCCAGAGTACTATGTTTAAATATTCATTCTCCTGTAATGTTTCTGATCATTTTTGGCAGAAGATAAAAAAAAAACAGTGCTTAATATTTCAAACAAGTATTAACACCCAATCTAATATTAATTATTGCCTTTTAAAAATGAGTAATGTTTGAAGAATTATATCTGAGCCAAACATCTGTAGATCAAGTTTCAGACATAGGCAAATTATAGCAGTTGAGCTATAAATTCCTAAGAACACTGACTATAATAAAATATGTACATATTATAAGCACAGCCAGAAAATATTAAAATAAAGCAATAAAAAAATCAAACCTTATGTGATCAAAAGAAAGACCACAAAAGTAATTTTGGAATCTTACTTGTCTTTTACCATATTTTAAAACAGTATCTTTCTAACCTTGGGTTCCTTTTCATTATTTAAACACATATCATGATTAGAATCCTCATTTTATATTTTTTTCTGTTTTGTCAGTAACAAAAATCCAGAGTATAATTTTTCTTATAACCAATCAAATGTATGCTTTCTCATAATCAACTATACACTTCTAAAAAAGTGAAAACAGAAAAACCAACCACTGGGAAGAAGTCTACAATGAAAATGAGTTAGTAAAGGGGAAACTTTAGGGCCATGTGATTTCT